CCATTGCATTTCACATAGCCTTGCTTTCCCAAAAGTTGTTCTCATCCAGGGTGGACTGCAGTTTCGACCTCGCATCGGTCAACACCCTCAGGGGGAGTCGAACCGCGACAGTGCAGGATGGCAGCTTGACACGCCAACCACTCAGCTACACTGCCACGAGGGCCTTTTGGGTCACAGGGCAAATGTAAATTTTAAAGGAAGGCCAGGTCTTTTTGCCATATCATATTCTTTTGGTGGAATTGTCGATAAAGCAAACGTATATTTTGCTATAACAATCGACTACTATACTTTATTTTTCGAATTAAGTATTGGTTTCGTGATTACCAGTAAATCAGTAATATGAAATGTATTCACCCAATTTCATTTAAGGTGATGAATAACTGGTAGAAGAAGTATTTTCCCACAATGATATGAGTTGAGCTGACGTTTCTAATGAATTACATAACATTTCATATTGCTGATTTACTGGTAGTCACGAAAACAATACTTAATTCGAAAAATACAGTATTGTAGTCGATTGTTATAGCAGATATAGGTTTGCTTCATCAAAAATTTCACAAAAAGAATATGATATGGCAAAAAGACCTGGCCTTCCTTGAAAATTTACATTTGCCCTGTGACCCAAAAGGTGCTCGTGGCAGTGTAGCCGAGTGTTTGGCGTGTCAAGCTGCCATCCTGCACTTTCGCGGTTCGACTCCCCCTGAGGGTGTTGACAAGACCGATGCGAGGCCGAAACTGCAGTCCACCCTGGATGAGAACAACTTTTGGGAAAGCAAGGCTATGTGAAATTCAATGGAAACTTCAGTTCAACTCATATCATTATGGTAAAATTCTTCTTCTACCAGTCCTTCATCACCTTAAACGAAATTGGGTGAATAAATTTCGTATACTCTGCTATAGTAGTCATCATAATTTCTAGCGTCGGATCGTAAACTTGGTACATTCCCAGACGTGTCCCCAGTATCGACATTGAGCCTTCCCATTTTCATAACCAGGCTACGACCCGTCAAAGGGATAAATGAAGACAATACCTTGATCAACTTTCTGCCGAAGCGGTTGCGCCTTTACTCCTCTTTCTGTACTGACCCAGATATCTACTCCTTACCCTCTTATGACACTCCTGCCCTATCACAACTTCTGACTTATTTATATTATACTCCTCCAGGTGCCCTTTTTTTGCGAAATTCCTGTGGCATTATCCCGCAGACACAGATAATTATGATAACTACTATAGAGGTGAAAAGTCGGTTACAGGACGGGGATTATGAAATAAACGTAAGGACAGAAAAAGGCCCATGAAAATGGATATGCCTAGCTGCGAACCCGCCCAAAAATTATGGCTAATATTAAGAAAATGCAATAATCAGGTGGCCACAAAGGAAAAAACATCATTTCTCACAAGTTTACCTAAGCAACATAAGAGGGTTGACAAATTGGATTGCTGGAGAGTTTACCACATAGCGTGCGGCGACTGCAAACAGAAAGAGATTCGCAAAGCGTGGAGAAAAAGCAGAATACGATTCAAGGAAAATTAAAGTCTCTGCAGGGAAATGGATATCGAATGATCAGAAATACTGGAGCACATTGCACAGACTGGATACGAGATAAATTGGAAGGGCCTCATATGGTGAAAGGACAACTGAAAATTAGTTAGACCAATGATATCCTTGCGGAAATAAATTTAATGAGCAGGATATTGGAAGGCAGAGTTAGTGATAAATTTGCCTATTGCTCAAGCAAACTTGGAGAAGACAAGGAACTGCAAGATCAGCAAAAAGAAGATACATGGAATAAGGTACTATCGTTAACCCGACGGAAAGGGACTACAAGGAAGAAGCGGATGAAGAACATTAGGAAATCAGGCAAAGGCATTCTCAGTGAGTGTAGTCTGCCTGGAGAAAAAAAACTAAAACTTAAAGGTATGGCGTTCACATGTCTAGCAAGATGGATAGTCACAACTGCAGTAGAAATCCAACAATATGGCCAAATTGATTTGTAATCCACTCGAAGAGATAGCAGGTCAGCAGAAATAGAAGTTCATAGTTTACTCAGGGTACGCAGGTTGATTCAAGGTGATGGCTCATGGAGACAATGCCTAATGTCTGCAAGCAAGATAATCATAGTCTAGTCGCTCTGCTTCGTAAGGCCACAAAGTACGTGCTACTAAAGGCTTGCGAAAGAACACATGGAGTAAACTGTATACTGGGACTGTCAGTCAACCAGGGAAGATAAGCAACGATTCTCCTTAATCACGAAGGGGATTAGAGTCGGATGAGTAAATTGAGGGGAAGGAGGTGTAAAGACTTTACACTAAAATTACCAAAAAGGGCACACCTCTATTAGATTTGAATATAAAAATCAGAAGTTTTAATAGGGCGAGAGTGAGATACGAAGAGAAATGGCACAATCGTTTTACAGAAAGTTGGACCTTATTTGTATTGTTGATGGGCTATAGCTTGATGTTAAGACTAGCAAAACTCACATCTTATTTACAAACATTGAAGATAAGGAAATCCTAAGACTGAACTTTAGCTTGAGTTTATTACCTTAACAATATCCTGGCTACGTTGTCTTAAAAACAACTGGAGGCGTTCCAAGTCCACGTTCTAACGGTGGGAATAATGATAGCTATTGTAGCAGAGGACTTTGGACAAGGTGCGCCCGACTAGGTTGTCCTGACAACACTACCAGATTGTGAATTATTATACAATTCTGAAAAAAACATTTAGCATACGTATTATATTCAGAAAGTATTCATATTTTTATCATACATTTACCAAGAACTCAGTGTCGAAACCTACTCACACCAAAAATACCTCGGTCAAACAACTTTTTAGGTGTCATCGGGACTTGATATTTTGGTAGAATACTTGGTAAATAGGAAATAAATGAGGTCATTTATTAAACTTCATTTTGAAAAAAATAAGAACATACGAAAAAAAGTTATGCTTTGAAGATTCCCTTAGTTTAACCATGTTGAACCCAATGTTGAGACGTCGATTGACATCTCTTGATCAGCTGTCTGTTGGCTTTACTGCAAGGTTCTGATTGTCAACGCTACCGAAACAATTGCCCTTAGATTTCATGGAAAGGATGTTGAGCTTTCGTCTCTCATAGGACGGACATCATCAGAGCAATATACCATTATTAGCATGAAAGGTGAAATATTTATAAACAGGCAAGATAAGGTAATCCTAAGACCGAACTTTAGCTTGAGTTTATTCCCTTAATAATATTCTGGTTTTCTTATAGGCTGATTGCTCGAATTCAGCCAGCTCCATGAACTAGAATGTGGAATCATTGCTGAATATTTCTATTAGTGTATTCAATTTAGTCACTTTGAAAGAGAGTAAGCCTGAATTAATTAGCATGCCTTGTAGAAGTGCATTATTAACTTCTCTTTCTATCCGTTGCTTACGTACTTTTTCGTTAAGTCTGGTCTTAAAAACCTCAGCGGTATTCTTAGTTAAAAGTCTGCATTCCTATATCAAGTAAAAGGATCACCCTATTATCAACATACCTTAGCCTTAACATCGCAACAACTGGACCACCCTCCTTTGCCTTCAAAAAAATTTATTACTTCGGTGCAAATATCTTGGAATAACCCCCTGTTCAAAATGAAAAAGAACTTATCTTCCAATGCTATTCTTTACTTCCTTTGGCAATTCCTCATAAGATTAATTAATTCAATATGCATATCTAGGGAGTGATTCTTCTCATTTATTTAAGCAAATTTTAAATCTCTTTCAAAATAAGGCTGAAAATTATCATCAATATGCATATTGGATCAATTAATGATGAGTAAGCCTTAGGTTTCCTTTGAATTTCACATTGCATTGCTTCCTAAAAGGTATTCTCATCCCAGGTAAATGGCAGCTTCTACCTGGCATAGGTCTCAACACAATCACCACCACCAGCAGGACTCGAATCCTCGTAGTGCAGTGTATAATCGTTATACGTTAGCCACACTGCCACGAAAGTCTGATATAAGAGTTGTATTCATGCTATTTTGTTTAAGGTAAAGGAAATGTGGTATGAGAAAGGCTTAGGCTTTCTTAAAGTTAACTTCAGCCCTGTGACCCAAGAGCACTCATTGACGTGTGAAGTAGTGGCTGACGAATTGCGATTATGCGTAGAACTATCAGGGTTCGAGTCCTTTGGAGATGTCGATGAGTCCTAGGCAAGGTCGAAGCTGCAGTATAGCCTAGATGAAAAGACCTTTTGGGAAGCAAAGCAATGTGAAATTCAGTGGAAATGTGAGGCCTACTCATACCATTGTGGGAAGATTCATCTACCAGTTTTTCATCCCCTTAAACGAAATAGTAAAAACAGCTTTTATATTAGATCTACTACTTGCCTCTAAAACTTACTTATAAAACGAAAATTAATTTACTTGTGCACCATCGGGATTATATATTCTGAAATAATACCAGGTAAATGAGTAATGAATAAATATGTGGATAATTATTCGCTTCAAGCAAAAA